GACTACGGCTATTTAAAAGGTTTTTTCCGTAAAATTAATCGATTCTAGACTAATTCGACTCAACATTTCGAAAACACGTATAATCTTTTGAGAATAATTCATATAAACTATGCTATAAACAAACAATTGTAGAATCAGCGTTCGACAACGCCGCTGCTTAAGCTTGTTTTCGTCGTGGAGATTGCCATCAAATAACGCTCGCGCGCTTCCTAATAAATTGTTTTTTTTAGCGAAAAATTCGCTGAACTTTAGAGACATCATTAATATAAATATAATTTTTATGGACATTAAATTATAAATGGTTTTTAATAGATCCGCTGCTCGTTTAAACTCAACGATTTGTACCATATCCGCTATTGATCTAGATTCGACACGAGTCGGTGATGACGTTTTACCGAATTATACGAGTTTTTTAGCGTGTTTGTACGAATACGGTTGCAATTTTTTCGCAGTCATATAGGAATCCGAACTATATAAACCCGTCTTATAAGGGGTCTACTGTACTGTACTATTATAGATACGGTGTTTTGTGTTTTTGATTGTGTTTTAATAGGGTGAGTACACTAAGAAGGAATTTTTTGTAATTCGCGGGGAAGTGTTAACAATTGGAGGTGTTAAGAGAAAGGGGTGTGCAAGATTAACAAGCGCAGATGCGTTTTTATTTGCGTTTTTGTGGGAAATCGGACATATTTCTATACCCATCTAAAAGTTCTCTAATTAGTCTGAAAACAGGGGAGTAATTCTTGCATTCTGTGAAAACGGGTAAGATTGACCTCCGGTGAATGTTGACACATACAAAATACGTCGGTGAAAGACCGAATATTTGGTTATATTATTATACATTCGAACAATCGCCGGTATATGTCGACAAGCACAGATAAGCTTTAGTGGAGGTCGAAACGACACGCGAGAAGCCGATGTCGAGAGAGACGACAATCTGTCGCGAAATTCTTCGCCGTTTCCTTCTGCTCAATTTGGTGATACTGTACGAATACAATGTCATTGATGTCGACTGTGGCCGTACAGATTCCCGAAATGTGTTGGTAGTTATTGTTGGAATAGAAGACTCCGACTTTTATAAATTAGCAAACAAAAATGGTATCCTCAAGCAACTTTATACCCACAATCAGTTCGTAATTTGTATAGAAAAGTTGAGGGCAAGACTACATACGCTGTCATTGCAAAAAGAAGTGTTCCACGAATAAATATAGGTTGTAAAAGCAAGGTTGAAGCAAGGTGAAGAGGTCGTAAAAGCAAGGGACTCTTGTGCAATTCAAAGTGCCATAACAGTTTACGTTGCTGCAGTATATAAGATTGTATAACGTTAATCACATAACTTATGTGTATGTTTGTTATTGTATTTTCTTTAATGATTTAGAATGTACTGTTCGTGTTAGGTTCAACAGTTTATTTACATGTGCTACAGCTTTTTCCTATTTTGACATATTAAAAAGTTGCTATTTTGTCTTAACGTAATAAAAATATTTATATTCGACATTCACCATTAGTGCATGCTGAATGTCAACATTTGCCAGTGTAAGTGAGAAATAATGATATTTAGCAAATACAGCATTTCGTACATACNCGGCGATGTCGAACGGTGCACACTCGGTAAGTAATCCTACAATTTTTTGTTTATAGCATAGTTTATATGGATTATTCCCAAAAAATTATACGTGTTTTGGAAATGTTAAGTCGAATTAGTCTAGAATCGATTAATTTTATGGAAGAAAACCTTTCAAACAGCCATAGTCCCTGAACTTCACACGTGTCGGGCTGTGATTGGCTCGTGTACTTAAAGATTCCTACAACGCGAAATTCGTATAACGAGGAACGTATCTATCGCGTTACAGGGGGTCTACTGTATTTGATTTGAGGTCTAA